CAGAAGGTTTGGGACACATGGGTTTATGTGGATCATATGACCTCAACATTGATCACATGTTATTTACATGTGCTTGAAAAACATGGTCACACACATGTGAATCACATGTGAATAAATGAGATTGGATCCTAAAGTCATGAGAGCTGCTTGAAACTCCATGTGTGAAATCAGAAGGACAAGCCTTAAAACCATTTTAAGCTTTTAATGGGAACTGAAGATCGCAGTGAAGAGTCTCGGCTGTTAGACAAAAGGGCCACGTCTCTGCTCTTTGCTCAGCGTCCACAGCGTGTCTGCAACAGCAAGAGAAATCGACATTAACATCACCAGACCCCTCTCCCACCTATAGAAAGACTAAGCAATTGCATTTGCTCACTTGCTCTCATCAATGCACCGGGCAAATACACCCACCTGTTCACCAGACCCCTCTCCCACCTATAGAAAGACTAAGCAATTGCATTTGCTCACTTGCTCTCATCAATGCACTGGGCAAATACACCCACCTTATTACCTACCTGGTTTTTATCCATTTTTGCCTCTCTGGCTCTTTTGCACCATCCGCAAACAAGCCGATCTGCCCGGCTGCTGCAGCAGCAGTTCCTGCCCCTCTCCTCAGGGATGAAGCAGGGCTAAGCACCAGGCACAGCTTCCCCTGTCCTGTCCACGGTGGGCACAAAACCCACCTGTGCTTCGGGAGGACAAGCTGGACCACACATCTCTATTAACCAAGGTTCAGAGCAAAGCTTGAGATGTTGAAGGCCATTTCATAGCTTTCTCCCCACAAGAATGACAAAACCTTCCCGTTCCTGTCTGTTGTCGAGGTCAGCTTAGTTTGCAGTTAGAGGACTCTCAGAAGGATCAATGAACGCTAAGAAAGAGGGGTGAGGGGCTGGCTGGATGTAAGGTTTGTATCCAAGGTTTCTAGCCAGAGCCAAGTAAAACCTCTGGTGTTTCCCAGGCTTATATTAATTGGCTCCAGATGATGCTCCATGCCTGTAGCTGGCTTCTCTGCATCTTATTTTTAATCTGTTTACCTATCTATTGCCTAACTAGTTTTTTATACAGAAAAAGCCCTATAAAGTAACAGTAGATACATTAGTGAATCTGAACTAGAACTCCAGAGGCAAACAGTCCTGTTATCCCTCCACAGGAGGCACTGGGAAGCTGCACTCAGGGGCTGTTGATCCAGCACCACCACAGCCCTGGCTGCATTGCCAGAGAGTGGGAAATCCCAGGCAGTGTCCTGCACTGGGTGGCAATGTCCCTGCTGCTCTTTTCCCTGCAGCAAACCCCTGGCAGCTACCCATTCCTGCAGGCTTGAGGTTTCTCCAGCACTTCACATAGCTAGAAACCATCCACCAGTTCTCAGTCCTGTGTCCCAGCCTTTCTGCACTTCCCCTTTACTTGCCACAGTAGAAATAAGCCCAGAGGAAAGACTGACTGTAATGAGGTGGTTCACTAGAAGAACCTATTTTATGAATAAGCACAGGATGGACAGCTTTTTTTGCAGGCTATGAAATGTGCTGTGGGCTTGAAAGGGATGCCTTGGATTGTTGGAGGGTAATGACAAGGAGGACACTAGATGTCAGGGCAGATGAATGTGATTCTTCTCTTCCCTGGAGCTTTTGCAAGGCAATGGGAGGAAGGAAGTTTTTTCCAGACCAAGGTGCAATGTGCTTGCAGGGGCAGCCAGAGAGCTTCACGCATCTAAAGGACCTTCATCAAAGCCACAGGGATCTCCCACTCCTCCAATTGCAAGAAATGTGCTTTTGTTTAAAAAAAAAAACAATAAAAAATAAGGAACAAATCCTGCTACCACCTGCCTTTGCAAGGAATTGGCTGGTTCTCAGACCAAGGGTACCTTTTCATACTGGGCAGCCTCATCCCCGCAGCCGGCCATCCATGTGTTCATACCCATCCTCTGGCAGACCCTCAGTCGATGGACAGCACAATGTCCTTCATTGCTGAGCTTCAGGTCTTGCCTGAGTAAAAGCAGCCCAGCGTTTGGTGTAAAAGCTCAACTTCTGGATCTACCACCTGCTCTAGGGATAGTTCATCTCCTACGGAGACCGCAACAGTTCAAGGTGCCATCAGCCTGTGCTGCCAACAGGCTCTGATCATGCAGGGTAAAAGAAAGGACCAACCCTGCTGGGAAACTGGGCAAATTTGGCCTTAAAGCCTTTCAGCCAAGGAGGATAAATAATGACAAAGAGGATGATGGACACCATGCCACGTTTGAGAGGAACAGAAGGGAAGGTGCCTGGTTGCTGCAGCAACAAGGCCGGGCTTTTCAGAAAGATGGGTTTTTCCTTCTCTTTTCACCTGCCAATCTTCCCCCCACGTCAGCGCTCTGCCGCTGCGGGAGACGAGCGGTGACATTTACACTCCCACTAACAAGCTGGTTCGGTGATGGGCAGCCCCGCAGGAGAGCATCTGGTGTCACAGAGCAGAGAGGAGGGGAAGGTCCCCTCAAGCAGGGAGCATAATTTGGGACTTATAAGCGTTATTAGGGCAAGGGCATAGATGGAAACAGCAGGCAAAGCCTCGGAGGGGCATGCAGAGTTTCCTACCCTTCATGTGGGTCTGGTCCTGCAGCCGATGGGTGCAATGAGATGCTGCTCCCACCCGGAGAACCTCTCCGCGTGTCCTGCTGGGAGAGGGAAGGAAACAAAAGTGAAAAGAAAAAAGAGAGGATGAGCAAGAAGTCAAGGCACACCACAGGAGCAATTTCACTCAGACTGGCTCATGGTGGCAGGCTGTGCCATCAGCTGTGCCCCCACGGTTTGGCGTCCTCGGTGCCCTGCTGAAGCTGCCCGTGACCTTGGCTCCTTGGGAGAAACCTCGTTATGGCGGCAGAGGTGAAACTCAGGCTGCTCTCTCCATCCTGGCAGGTTTGCCCAACGCTGTACCTCACTGCACGTTCCTTTGCCTTCTGCATAAGGCAACAGGCAGTTCACCCAAATTGTCCCAATAATAATAGTAATAGTAGTAATAATAATAATGACATTACTGCAAAGCAAATGCAAGAAAAATACAACAGCTCTGAAATTAATTTTATGAAATAGTGGCTCAGGAAACTGCTTTGGGTCATCTCCCGTTTCTTACTGGTCAGTATGCTGCTGCCATTAGGAGGAAAGTGGAAATTAAGAACGAGCAGCCTTTCCTGGCTGCCAGACTGCTCTGCCATTGGAGGTGGTTGAGGAGGTGCCCTGTTGGACCACAACTCCCAAATTGCATGTGGAAATACAAGAATATCATGGCTAATAAAACTTTGAATTTGTGTATTTCCATGCCCGGCATAGCCAAGGAAGCTGGGTTTCCTAAGGATCTGTGGTTGCAAGTCAAAGACCCATGTGGAGTCTCTGATGCCTAGTACAGATTGTGCCAATACATTTATTTGAGTGAGAGCATGAATAGGTTTCCTCTTCTCTACAGTGTCATTCTTTTTCACAAAGCTTGGAGGTCCCTGATATCTTGGCGATCTCCACCCTTCTGTCAAATGAAGCTGAAAGTATGGACTGAAAATTATTAGTAAGACACAAATATGCTGCTGCACCTCTTTCCCTGTCCCCATCCTTTCCTCTGAGCACAGAGCATGTGCTAATCAGCCACTTTCCATTAAGAAGCCAGACTAAAAGATTAGGATGTCAGGGAGAGCAGCCCACCTCTGGTGTCTTTGTCCCTCCCTGAAGCTGGTGCAGCCCCTTCAGACTGAATTTGAAGAGGCAAAGGACCTGATGTGTTGTAACCCAGTTTCACGGAGTAATTGCTCCACTTTTCTAAATCTTCACTAAAAAACTCCCTACATTTTTCAGCTGGTGCTTGAAAGTATACCCAGTAATCTGCAGAGATGAGATGACTGAACAAAGGTACAGTCAAGCCTGGGGGAAAAAGTGCATGAAGGCAGATTATAAAAGACCAGATAAATAATCCTTCAAATATGGAGACGGCAGAAATTAGGATGTTATTTGCAGAAATCTCTCATTACAGAGAGACACAGGAGGCATCGGCAAGATTACAAACTGACCAGCGTATGAAGATTATAGAAGGGAGAAAGCAAACCTGTCCACCAGCAGCGACTGTCACGTCTGCAGAGGTGTAATGTGCATGGTGACAGTGGAGAATCTCTTAGCAGAGATGTCAATCAGCGAGGCATGGAAAATGAGATCACTTGTGGAGTTTTTTCCCAGTGACCGAAGCTCTGCAGGGGTGACCCCTGTCCAAACCTCAGCATCTTTCAGCAGAGGGTTCAGGATGGAAAGTTACTCCCCACGGCACTGGAGCCTGTGGCAAGAGCTCCAGCTGGGCAGAAGATGAGTGGCTTACACGGGCAGTGGGGCCAGATGAAGAAGCAGTAGAAAGAAACATTTTTTAGTGTTCCTGACTGGAACCATTTTTTCTTCCTATTAAAAACAAAAAAAAAAGTAGTTAAGTTCTCTTCCATAGCAGGAGGCTTTTTTTAATTTTGAAAATGGAAATGTTTTCATGCTTTGTGGGTCAACTTTTTTGCCATCAAACCCTAATACTGCAAAAGACAAAATTCTTTTGCGAAACATACTTGCCTGAAAGACAGTGCTGGTGCCAGGCAGACTGCTCTTGAATCGAAACCTTCTGTGCTCGTGTTGGTGTTTGGTTTTGGACCTTTTCAACATTGCTCCTATATAGTTTTCTGCTTCCTGAATCCTTGCCCTTCCCGAAAAGTGTGGGTTGCTTATTGTAAAACCTGCCAAGCAAAGCAAGTGAATCAACTGTCCTACAAGGGCAAGGAACAAGCTGTGCCAACCACCGGTCCACGTGTCCATGGAGTAGCAGGGAACACCAAGAACCGTGCAGAGGCTTCGTTCCCAACTGCAGACACTTCTACAGGCATAAATATTATTCTTCATCTGTGTGGCTGCATCTCAAATGATCCATAGGCAATTTTCCTCCCACATCCAGGGAGTGGGACTGTCAATGTTGGTCAGACCTGGTCACTCCAACAGATTTGTACTGACCTGTTGGGCTTGTCCTGTGGAATCTGGACCAGCAAATAGGTATCGAGTCAATATTGTAGACCAGCGGCAAGAACGGAGCAGGGGACCTCGGTCTGGTTGCACTATAGAGAAAATGTGTATAGAGAAAACAGGAGCCTGATACGTGGATCTGAGCCAATCTTTTGGGTCCTGCTGCTGCCCAGATTACCCCAACGCCCCAACTCCACCTGGTCAGCCTGGAGGAGAAGGTTTTGAGAGCTGCACTGAGTGACATCGGGGTTAGATGTGGGGACTCGGTTTCCCTAGCAGTGAAATGAGTCTTTCTGAGGCTCCTCTTCCCCAGAGAGCCATGACGATTCATTAGGCAATTGTAAAATCAGAATGTAGCTACTGACTGTGAGTTGCCGTCCATTAATAGCCCTATTTATTGCCAACCAAATAATTAGCTTAGACATGCATCAATGGGTCTTGATTGCATATGAAATAACTGTCTTATTACACAGAAATCAAATGATTTTCTGAGGACAGCTCAGGTGTCACCTCAACCTCAGTATTGAAGAGGAAAGGAAAAAAAAAAAGCCAGCCAGTTCGATGTGTTGCTCAGCAACAGAATTTGCGGGGGAAACAATCTAGGAATGAAGGAATGAGCATTTCCAAGAGAACGGGTTATTTCAGGCGAGACATCAGGGACAAGCAAATGTCAAAGAGACAGAGAACTTTTTTTTTTTTCCTCCTTTAATCAATAATTTACACTAGGCATTTTGGGTAAAATAAGCATTTAAGTTAACTGATTGAAAAACGGAGATCCCAAACCTTTACAAAGAGTCACATTGCTGAAGGAACATTTATTTGTTTGTGTGAGGGAAACATTAGATTTACTAGACACTGAATTAAAAATTGAAAATGCTCTTAGAAATGTCACCTGTTCATGTAAAGAGGGAGATGATGTAATGCCAACATTGCTATATTGTGCAGCATCCTTCCTGGAGCAATCTCATATTAATTTTATTGTTCTCCTTCCCACACGCCCTCCCCTCCCTCCCTTCTCCTTTCTTTTCTAGGACAAGACAAGCGCGCTGAGTCTCAGCAATGTGGCGGGGGTTTTCTATATCCTCATCGGTGGGCTCGGACTAGCCATGCTGGTTGCCTTAATCGAGTTTTGTTACAAGTCCAGAAGTGAATCAAAGCGGATGAAGGTGGCAACACATTCCCCGGCCTTTCACACCTTCTCTCTGATCCTACCCCGGCTCCAAAGCTGCCTTCAGAGACGGATGCAGCCCAGACCATGGGTGGAAAGCCAAGACATAGGGACAACAAAGTGACTGTGTCACTTGACTTGCTAGAAAGGAATAGGAGCTTCAGAGGAAGCTAAAAGAGGGTCAAATGGGCCATAGCGGGGAGCTGATGCAAGCTCAGACCTGTGGCATAATGCTAGTTCAAAATCCAGACACAGAGCAAAATCATAACACAGACCATAACAGGAACACATTGCCATTCCTTAAAAGTAATAAAAACAGGCTACGGCAATGTGCGTGCAGCAGGGATGAAGTGTGCTGGGGTTGGTGTGATACAGCCATTACTGCAACATGAAAAAAAATCCCCAAACCCAAGCCGTTAATAGCAAGGTGAAACTGAGGTAGCACAGTAATGAATCAGATCCTGTTGTTCCCTTTGGTGACACCCTGCTGGCACCTTTTGCTGGCTGGCAACAGTGATATATGCTCAGAGCTTTGTTGCCCTGGGATGGATGATGTGGGTCTCCAAATTCAGAATTATGGGTCGTTTTAGAGAGAAATTGGCCTCTAATGTCTCCCGTAATGTTGGGGTTTTTTCACCACCCTGTCATGGTCTTGCAGAAGCGTACTTCCTATGACCCAGGAGATTTGTTTCAGCCCTAAATTGTCATCTGCCTAAATTTCAGAGTGTCATATCAAGAGTGGATTAGATTTCAGAGCTTTGGGGATACACATTTAATGCATCATCTGTGGAACAAGTACATCTTGACTCAGATGACTAGCAGACACAATCCCTTATGCAGACACCATTGTGTACAAGGGTGCAGTGGGATCTGTGCTGTAAGAGTAACACATCCCTTTTCTTCCTCATCTTGACCTCTCCCATGAGCATGGAAGTTGATATGAGTAAATGAAGTATGCAGTGAGTTCCATAAAATTTAGAGAGGTTTTCACTTCCCTGAGCAGTGAAACTTACCCAGAATCAAATGGAAAATAAGCAATTGTTTCTTTGGATTTTATGTCACCATTTCACAACATGCTTAATGTTTTATCAGCAATAATAACATTTCTAATTCAGTAAAAATGTGCAACAGCTCTTTTCCCATTGAGGTTCAGAAAATTCTACAGGCAATGAGGGGTACATTGAGCACAGGGGTAAGATAATGTGAGCAATTAATGTCCCTGAATATACAAAAATTAAATTATAATTGCTGTCTACACTGCAAAGCTAGGTATGTCACAAATATGCTGTGAAACAGTGTGAGACTGCAATAGCTCCATACTTTCAGTCTTAAGGAGACTGCTGTTGGCCACCTGTGTTACTTGAAATGACCCAGTAGTTCAGTGTTGGTTTGCAGTGCTCTTGCCAGGTTAAAACCAGCCACTGTGTTACTTGAAATGACCCAGTAGTTCAGCCAGTGTTAGTTTGCAGTGCTCTTGCCAGATTAAAACCAGCTGCTAGGAATGGGAAGGAATCATGGGTCTAAAGTTGTCCCTTTGGCTGGGTCCCACCAGCAGTGCCTGCCCCACAGAGCCACTCAGCAGAGAGCAGGCAAGTGCCCCAAAAGATGGGCCAGATCCCCCTCTAAGCCCAACCTCTGTTCAGCAAGTCCCTGCAGACCCCCTTGGCTGTGCTGGTCCCACCAGCACAGGAGGCAGCTCCCTGCCTGGCAAGGCACTAAGTTGACTGTTTCTGAATAGCTATTCCAGGTTTATCTGTTCTGGATAATTCTTCACCTGGATATCCCTATCCAGAAAGGATGATGATGCCCTTAAAAATAGCTTCAACATCAAGAAACAAAATTGATTTCATCTTTTAGTTTAATTGTCCTAAACAGCTGGTTTCCTTAGATCTCTGAAAACAAATGTTTTGGGTGGTATCTGGAACAGGAAGATGAGATTTGGTTTCCTGAATTAGGTTTGCATTTCCTGGGTACCTCAGTCGTTGTTGTAGACAACAACATAGGCACATGCTCAACTTCTCACATGAGGAAAGTTAAACATATGCTTGCAGTGAGTCAGAGTCCACCATACATAACAGCACTGGAGTAGTAATAGCACATCTATGGGGGAAGTGTGTATAATACCTCTGCTCAGATCCAGGATGACTGTTCTTATGTTGTAGAGTTTGAATAGTTTTTGCATATGGCACATATGTTTTACACCCCAAAAAACTGCTGAAACATTTAATTTTGAATGTAAAAGAGGTGCGAGTTAACGGAGCAGATGCAGTAGGGACATGCAGAAAGTGAGAGTCTGAATGGGGACAAGGAGGGAGAGAACAGTGACAGGAAGACAACACTGCTTTATATTGTAATTTCTCCAACATTGCTAAGGACAGGGGGAGACCCCCCCGTCTTTCCTAAAAAGGGTTTTTGTTTAATCCCACAGCAATCAATCAACGAAGCCATACGGACATCAACCCTTCCCAGGCCGGCTGCAGCAGGAGGCAGTGGAGAAAACGGACGTGTGGTCAGCCACGATTTCCCCAAATCCATGCAGACGATCCCGTGCATGAGCCACAGCACCGGCATGTCCCTGGGAGCTACGGGATTATAATTGGCCTTTTGACCCATTGCCTGGGTGAGAGCAGGGGCAGCCCAACTCCACCCCCTCCAGAGCCAAAAAACAAACCCAACACCAACAAGACAAACAACGATGACAGAAGGGACAATTGGATGGATCTTCTCAAGGAAATCAATTCTATTTCCCTTTTTATTTGCAAACAGATCCACCGGCAGGAGAACAGAAACAGGTCTGTACTGCAATAAGGAGAGTGTAATGGGATTTAACAGACTCGTGAACCGTCCCTGATCAAAGAACCACTGGAACACTAATGAGGACTATGCCATTTTGTTTTAACTTGGTTGTTAATAAGTCTTAGTGTGTGCAATATATATATTTTTTCTTACTAATTCCTGTGGTGTCAGGGTAACATCAGCCCTTTCCCCCTTCCCTGCTCAGTCCTTCAATCTGGTTTAGTTTGGGATGCAAACCATAATGTCTGAGCTACTAACAGCAAAAAAAGAACATCCAATAAATTGCAAGCTGAACTCCCTGCAGGGCGTCAGCACTGACGCCTTTTGTCCATCGTGATTCTGCCTTCTGTTGTTCTGTTGTGAACTCAGGCTGGGGAGTAATTGCAACGAGGCAGAACAGCTCTCCCTGCAACAGGAAGGACTTGATGCGAGAAAGAACCTGAACAAAAACACGAGGCTGTTTTATGGGGGCAAAGTCATGAGTAAGTTTGGAAACCCCAGGTTACCTGAGGACAAAGTGACAGTTCTTCCAGAGATGATGAGTGGCGGTTCAAGAGAAGAATCGTGGGCCTGGAGTGGAGAGTGTCATGCGTGGCAGATTGGAGCAGATGGTTGGTCTGAGATCATGGTCGGCTGCTGATTTCTATGGAAGAGGGAAAATAAATGCGCGTTCCCCTCACATGCAACTCTCCTGCCTAGGTTATTGGGGGCTAATAAGCAATTGTGAACCATTTCTTCATTGCTTAGCTTCTGTGTGTGCTCCCTTTTTGGTGGTCACATAAGGGAACCACCTTGAGCCGGGAATAGACCATCTCAAGACATCCAGTTCTAGATGGCTGCCTATTAACCAGTAAAAACATGCTATAAGTCATGGGGCTGCAATGGGAATACCCCTGCCTTTTTGCTCTGAAATCCCTTTATGGCCATTTTTCTAATTAAGAGGGACATTTTGTAGATAGTTGGCCAGAATAGCTCCTGGAAAGAACTGTTGAAGCAAACCAAGGAGGAGACCCTACAAGAGCTTCATTCAAGCATCCGTGACATTCAACAACATCAAGGCTGGTCAAATTTGGCCTTCCCATCAAGTTGTGGCCTGTCTGGGTACAAAGCCAAAAGTAGCAGATTCCCACTCAGTATCGTTAGGGAGAAGGAAGCATCCACCAGCCAGGAGAGCAGGTTGCTGACCCCAAACTTGGTATTGCAGAAACCCACTCTGCCAGACAGGCAGCTGGGGCTCCAACCACAGGTGTGGAGATCAAAGGGGCAAGGATGTTTATCCAGAACTGCACAAAAGGTTCGTTCTGTGAATCACTGGCATGGACAGACAAATGCTTCCCACCATGGTGGGCCTGAGACACCTCCCCAGAAATGAAGGATTCTCAGGGGAGCATCTGGAGAGAAAAAAAATCTGTGGGGCAGGGACCACAATGAACCCACTTAGCCTTGTCCCGTCTCACAGGTCCATCACTGATGGCAAACAAAGTTGAAAGCTTCTCACAGGACCCAGCAAATATCTGTCCAGGGACTGAGCTGCTATTGGAGTGTTCTGAGCTTCTTTTTCTCATTTTTTTTCTTTTTTCTTTTTTTTTTTTTTTTCCTGCAACGTAGCAAGAGAGGAGCAAGAAAAAAAGGGAGGCAGGTGAACCGAAAGTGATGCAGGCAAATGACTGGCACAGGTATATGAGGAGGATCTGTCTATCCAACTGTCCATAAGTACAGCTGGAAGCTGCCTGAACACCAGTTTCCATTAGTGTACGGATGTGAAGAGCAATACATCTATCACCTTTAACACCAGCCTGGTCTGAAGTATCTGTTCCATTTACCCACTTGTCATGCAACACTTGGGAGACCAGCAAGTCAGAGTCAAGGTCCTAAGCTCGGGCACAGCATGTCTTGTGCCAACGTGTTTTCCTCTCTCCACCACTGGAAACCCTTGTGATCCTCATCTCTCATCAACGAACATGAACTCTGTTACCAGCCACTCCAAACACCTCTTCAGGTCACTTTGTGTTGATTAGCATTATTTTTAATCCCCTTTTCTTCATTTTAACTTCACTTCTGTGTAAGTGCTAGCTCAGTGGAGGCACCCCACAAGCTAGCCTGTTTCCATGCCCAGAGCCCTCGGATGCATCTCCTGACCCAGCTCTTGCCGCATCCTGGACCTTGCCACAGCAGTGGACCACTGGGTGCTGTGGTGGGAGCAGGCTGCTGAGACCCATCGGTGCCCCATCCTCCTCCAAAGACAGGACTACGTGGCAGCAGGTCGTGGGGAGCCCGGCCGGGCAGTTAGATGGTCCCGTGAGAAGCAACATGTCTGTGCTAGGACTGGCCGCCTGTGACGTGAAGATGTGAGATGCAGTTTTCAAAGGCTTTTTGGTCAGTGGAGGGGTTAAAGAAAAAAAAAAAAAAAGATGAATAGGACAAAAGCGTGGCAAATGTTAACTTGTAATATGTATTTTTACTACACTTTTCTTAAAAATAGAGTAATGGTAAAACTCTTAAAGACATTGACATTTTTTCTCAACAGGAATCCATATTTAACAGTTTTGGCTTTCATTAAATTTTGCTCTTTGGTACCTGGATCTTTTATTTAACAGCTATATTTGTTTTAACTCTCTTTTATTTTTTCTTTCTTTTTTTTTTTTCTTCTTTTGGCAGTACTGCAAAGGATTTGCTTTATCAAATGCAACAGTGTTTTTCTTTTCACATTCTCTTTTTTTCAAGCAACATTTTTATTGGCAATTATTATTTACACAAAAATGAAACTATCAGCTGGAATTTTAGCACCAAGGATCCATGATCCATTTTTCATACCTGTCCATGCCGTTTTGTGCCAGTGCTGGATGTGTGGAAATGAAAATGATGTTACCCCTCAGGCAATATTACCCAACCTGAATCAAATGAGAGTTCCTTGAATATTGCTGTGTCTGAATTGTGAACAGCAGCCAAATAAACTGCTTCAGGTTGAAATTGGGAATCTATCTAATATTTACCCAAGAGTCAGGAAACTAAACATTCATTGGGTTCAAAGTTAAAGATTTTCCTTCCTTTAGAGTTTTGTGGGGTTATTCTTTGAGGAGGGCTATTAGAGGATTTTAGCTTGTTTTTACAGAGAGACAAGACACGGTCAGCTCAGAGAGAATTCAGAACCAGCACTGGTCCAAAAATCCTCACCAGGATCAGCTTTCCTAGGAGCTCCCATGCTGTTTCAGAGGCTTGGACATTTGAGACGTTTCTCACTCAGTTTTCACACAATTATCCTGGTAAATTCCTCATCCAAAAATGTGTTGAAAAGGGAAAAAGAGTAGATTTAAAAGGCCTTGTACATTTATGCAGATGCTGACAGCTGCTGAGGTCAACTGTAATCATTAATGTCATACTCTTATGTAGCACTTGGTGTCACAGATCTGGAAGGACTTCCCTTCTCCGTATAGTCATTCCCATTTATCGACTGGGGAAGCTGAGACACAAAAATGCCTTGGACCAGGCACCCCAGCTCACCCCACAGGGCCATGGTAATACATTCAAGGTCTCCAACATTCACGAGGGGTGTTTTTACCTACTGGTAAGTTTTAAAGATAGAGTCACCAAGGGGCAGAATTAATACAATTTGAAAAGGGCTGTGAACCCTCAGGCTTCAAAGCACAAGAGACTCCCAATCTGTGGGGCCTCAAGCAGAGGCTTCCTGTGGGCAGGTTATGCTGGATCAGCCCGTTTTGGTCTTCCACAATTGCTTAGGCATCCCGTACTGTACTGTGGGCGTGGATCCTGTCTCAAAACACTCTTCTTGCTCAGAGGTTCACTAATGGCTCCCGGGAAGTTGCAGAAATGCACAAGAAACATCCCTTTATATCTTGGCATAAACAGGACAAAATTCCCTCCTAGTGGCAAAAGCAAATGTTCCTTGTAAGAAAAACTCCAGCAAGAATCCAAAACGAGCTTCAGCAGTTATTGAAGCAAAAAAACACCAAACCTTGAAGTGCAGCAGGTGAGGAACAGATGCATTACCCAGTCCACCCCTTTGCTATGGGTTGGTAACTCTGGTATCATGACACAAAGCTGGGATGCTCCAAAAAAAGGTTGTTAGTCCATGAGCCTACCTGCTATCAAATGCAAGAAGAACTTACTCATCTAAGCTCAGTGAAGGAACAGGGCAGGGGCACATCAATGTTTGCTGTAACCCAGTGGTTGCCAACCACTAACCTGTTCAACTCCAGCAACTCAGCCACACGCCTACATCAAAAGTTTTGGGAGACATGGGGAAGTTTTCACTGTGAACACAGGTGAATGCTCAGTTTTTAGTGACGTGGTCAGTCACCCAAATGTCACACGTGGCTCTGGGTCACAAAGTGAATATTTTTGTGGCCATTTCTAACATGCCGGTCCACTACAGAGGTACATGTCAGTGCTTAGATGACCCATCACAGTGGTGTGCAGTACCCTTATGACATTGTGGTACTCTTCACTGCCATGGCATGAGAAATAACAGCACAGATTGGGACTTAATGAGTGGGGACTGCTTTGAAACACCGCCTTGGAGAAAGGAGGAGATGGGTTCGGACCCTTCCCACCAGCTAAGGTACCAGATTAACCCCTGCTGACCTCTGTTAAACACAGATTCCTCGGCTGCCTTCATGTTACCTATGGGCACAAATCAATTTGTCAGCCACCAGTGCTGGTTTTGTGTCTTGGCAGCCCACCGCTGGCTGAAGCCCCTGTGCTTGCATCTCCACTACCCAGTTAATTAACAGAAACACAGGGATATCACTGTGCCATGCACAGCTGTCCACCAGCCCACTGGACTGCAGGGCTTTTGGGGCAAAATCCACATGTAAATCCCAGCTCAAAAGATGCCAGGCAGTGCCAGAAAAAACTGCTTGGGCTCCGTGTTGCTCCAGCTTCACTACAAAGACGACAACCCTCCCAGCTGCTCTGTTCTTTTCCAGGCACTTGATCCTTATAGTTTGAGTATATGAGGGATGAATTTAGAGTGCAAGGACCTGGAAAATGTTCTCCTAGGCATGGAGGGGTAGCTCAAGACTGATCCCTCCATCAAAATCTTGACTATTCGCATTCTGGGATTCTCCACTCTGCCCTGACCTGCAACATCACCTCACATTTTCCTTCTGTCCATCCCTCTCTCTCCTTCATTTGTACATCAATCCCACCAGCAGCACTGCCAGATACTGTTCTCCAGGACCTGGAATAGGTTCTGGGTATGTACACAGTGGTTGTCTTATTGCAGAGAAGTCTGTATCACCGTATACCTTCAGAAAGCAAATGAACTCCTCTTCTTTTGGGATGGGGCAGAGATGTGAATCCAGCTCCGCACTGGGCAGAAGTGATCCCATAACCCATCACACTGTACTTGGGCAGCAAGGAGCCTGACACCACCCTGCAAACGGGCTGTTACGTGGAGCCACACTCTTGCAAAGTGCTGAGTTATCTGGCTGTTCCCAGAGCACTTGGACTAATCTCCCTGTTGCTGGTGCACACTGGTCCCGAGGAGGCATCGCTGCCTGGCTGCCAGGAGGTTCTTCTGGCTCAGGATGGGGAGAGGCAGGGTGCTGGACATTATCTCCACAGAGCTGGTACCCGAGTGAACTCACCTGCCAAGTGTGTGCAAGGGGAGAGCTGACTCTAGAGCAGTGGAACACAACAGTCCTCACCCCCAGAAGCGTAATTAGCCAAATTTTGCACATCCCTTTGTCATGCACTAATTATATAGCGCGTACACACATGCACATGCATACACAGATATTAAGAGATGCCTTTGACAGCCCAAATTAGTTGCCAAGGTACCTTTTCATTCCTAAGGATCAATACGGTATAATGTAACAGCCACAAAGCATGTTCATTACTCTGCAGGGCTGGTTTAACATGCTCTCCGGATCCCTTTGGCAGTAATTCCTCCTCTGTTTGAGCTGGCATCAAAATTAATGGCATGTCGTGTTCTATAAGTCCTGACTTTTTAGATGAAAGGTACACGGTGTTGTTCGCATCAGTATTACAGTGTAATAAATCAGTGCTTTCCCATTGGAAGGATTTTAGACGATTTCACAACTTGCTCTCAGGAACTCGAAAGGCAACCTGTTTGCCAGGCCGTGGGCGGGCCGATAAAGAAAAAAATATCCATAAAAACAGAAAGAGGAGGGGGAAATAAAACCCATTTCATTGCAGTATTGTTAACCTGCTTCGTGTAGGACGCTGGAGCCAGGGCAGCAATGCCAAAGATTGCTCAGGTCCCATCGCACAAGGTGGTGCACAGCACAAGGGAGCATATTAGTTATGGACAAATGGTCCATAGTTGTTATGGGCAAAACAGATGGAGGCTGGGAGGGGGAACACAGCTTGATTTCACTTGACCAAATAGGAGCAGAGACAAAAGTAGAGTTTGCCTTTCTGTTTGCCAGACCTTAGAACAAACTGCTCACAACTTGCAGAAAAGCAGCAGGAAAAGTGGAAAGGGAGCGAAGACTGAGGCAGGACAAGAGCACCCAGTAATCGCCCAAAAGGTGCCCACAGAGTTATTGTCCCAGCTTCTTTGGTAGCTGCTGCCCAGAGTGCAGTTCACTTACTTAACAACATCTTTACCAAGTAAAACTTAAATTCCCCTGCTCCCATGAGCACATGTGCAAGATGGGAAGAGGCTGAACTTGAAAGGGGAGCCGTTTTGTTGCCTCAGATTAGCTCAAACTGTGTGACAAGCTTTCCTCACTTCAAAACCAATGTTGTTAACCTTGAAATCTGCATTATTAATATTTCAACATGAGTCCCATCAGGAGCTGCTGAAAGAGCTCTCCTGGACTCGTGACAGCTCGTCCCGTTTGATTCTAATCATATATGAATGCATGAGTTAAGAAGACATCATTAAAACTACATTAAGTTTAATTATGCTAGCAGCCACAGACAGTGGGAGCATCGGCTTAATGCAGAATGCATAATTAGATCAGACCTAATCCATTAGATTCATATTTGTTAAAGAAAATGCTCCTCATCTATAAGCGTCGCTACAAAGTGATCCATAGGGTCTGGAGGAACAGTACCGGTTTCTGGGGGCTGCTGCCCCTCCTCCTCCTCCCCCTTCCTCCCTGCCCATCACCCCTGTGTGCACTGCTGAGCCCTCACTCAGCTCGTTGCACATCCAGTTTAATAAAAGCATACAGGAAAACAGAGCGAGAAGATCCTCCTGCCTGGCAGCCAAGCCCTGGGGAGGTGCTGTGGTGGCTTAAGCTGTTATGGACCCAGATCTCCTCTGCAAGGAGCTGGCACCACCATAGTGGTCTGTAGAAGCAGGAGTGCACCCAGAGCCAGGTAGGTGGAGGGCTTCACAACCCAGTCAGACCAGTGCAGCCGTGCTCAGGGATGGAAACAGATGGTTCCAGGGTGGCTGATGCCCTTTCACAAACTCCAATCACTGTTGCCTGCAGAGTGAGTTAGGACAACTTTCCAAACAAAACCAAAAGAAAAAAGACAAAAGCCCCCAAAATAATGAAAGCAAAAGTGTTTCATCTCCTTCCAGGGCTGGGCCAGCTCTCTCCACTAACACCAGGAGGGCAGTGGCAACAGGAAAGGTGACACGTCCCTCTTCCCAGCAGCACGTCATTACAAACCACCCGCTGCTTGGCTCTGCAAAGCCACGGCGTTGGAGGGAAACCACCACCACCAGTGGGCTTGAGGTAGGCCCCGAGATGAGCAGCTGTAGGTTGTCACCTCCATCTTCACCCCACAGAAGGGTCACGGGGAGAACTGGTACCAGTAACCCATCATGCCCCAAAGCAGCATCACGGCAGCAGGGAGGGTAAAACTGCCAACACCTGAGCCCTGCAGGTAATTGGGTTGTTGTGGCTTGGTGCTCCTCAGCTGGGACACAGGGCATCCTGTAGCCAAGTCCTTGTCCCATGGAGCGATTTCAGCAGCATCTCCCAGCCCAGATGGTGACAGTGGAATGAATGTCACTAATTTCCCAGCTTCTGGGGACAGTCCCAGAGGTGATGCACCTCACCAGCATGCTCCTAGACCATGGTGCCCATGGCTCCACGTGCTCACCACCACCCTCCTTGCTACGGAGAGGGGTGAATTTACTCTGAGCTCATCGCCCAGCAGAGTAACTCAGCTCAGTGCTGGCCATGGAGAGGTTCTGTGCAAAGCTGAGCTCCCAATCCTACTCAAGGGTGGTTTCAGCTGATGTCCCCTCCATCCTGGAGACATAGTGGGCTGGGAAGGGAAAGAGGTCAATGCCACCACGTGACACATGCCTGGCAGCTGTGAGGGAGCCAGGCGGTTCAGGAGGGAACCCGAGAGCCCTGCGCTCACTGGCACTCATCACAGGCAGGAGACACTTATGCTTAACAGCCCAACTGAGCCCTCTAACACCTGCTTAAGTGCTGAATATTATTGCTATTAAAATATAAGGGCCTCTTGCTGCCTCTCCTCCGTGGAGCTGGGTAAGGCCTGTGATTGGGAAGCCAGGGAGGCACAACCCCCCAGGCAGGATTAAAACCTTTCTGAAGGTACCTTTTGCAGCCAAGGGCCAGCTCCAAATGGACCACAATTACTGGTTAGACAATAACTGAGATTTCCAGGAGGTTTTCTGAATAAAGGATCTGCTAACTTAGGTTTGGGGAGGGTTTTTCGGTTTGTTTTATTTTTTTCTTCTTTTTTTTCTTTTGAGAGAGAAAATCCCTACCAGTTAGCTCATTTTATCCATATTTCATCCTTGTCACCTCCACCCCATCTGCTCCATGCTCACACAGGCAAGGGTGACACAAGCAGTTAGAGTGTGCCATGGGGTCCAGGAAGGGATGGGGGTCAGCAGCCCATGGGGAGGCTTCTGTCCCCCATTTTGCAATGCTGTGGGATACCAGTGCCATCTGCCCACAGCGTCTTGGAAAGGGGGTTGGAGGACCCCATGGCTATTTACTTGCCACAGAGGTGGTTTCCATGTTCTCTGTTTTTCAGGGCTTTTAACTGACAATGGTCATCAGCATTTTGAATTTCAATCTAATAAACATGGGGAAAGACCAGCTAAAGGCTGCTGTGATTTTTTTTTCCCATTTTTGTGCTGAAGTGTGTCTGTTTGCCAGTAGCCATCATAAGCCAGAGTCCTGGTTCAGCTGGAAAGTAGGAGGAGACATGGCAAAGACTTGGGAAAATATTCTTCCTCTAAGGAAGCAGCTGATTTATAGTGAACGATATGTATGCTTAGCTGCTGATGTACTCTTTTGGCTAAAGGATATTTGAGGAGATATTTGGGGACTATCTAACCTCATAAGGCCTTTTAGAGAAAGCATTCGCCGTTCTGAATGGGCAGCAATTGATATGTTCAAAGTGAGTACCATATTAATTCGTGTTTGAACACGTGTGTGTCTGGGTGTCATTTAAAAATAAATCATCAAACCCCCAAAAAATCAAAGATGAGCGCAAAGAGCAGCTCTTTGGAGAAAGAAATGTCAGGACCTTTATATCCTCACTATCAATTCCCTTCACTGTGATGATCAATACGGCAAGATGAAAGGGCAACCCCTGGCGCTGTTAATTGTTCTTTCCAAAGGAAAACAGCTGAACTATTAGGACTGCAATCACTGAGCGCTCAAAGGGAAATCTAAGTTAACCCCTCCGTGGCCAGTTTGCCCCAGGCCAACCACTGGCATCCCTGGTGGGAGGTAGGTAATAGCTGCAACCCTGGCAGCCACAAGCCATCTATTCCCAGGGCCTCATAAGCAAGTTTTAGGCTCCAACAACCCTCTCTGAGACCTCATTAGACATCTGCCAGAATTCAGCAAGACGTCAAGTATCTTCATCTACGCTGCAGCGTATTTTGACAGGATCCTGACACAGCGACATGACCACAGTGTGATCGGCTCTTAGGTTTCATTTGAAGAAGCGTTTTCACTTTGGTGTAAGAGAAATCTACCCACCCCTCACAGACCATATGCCATCTTTTTAGTAGATTTGCTGATTATCCGAAAAGCACTAAGACAGCCTGAACACTGCCCCAGTGACTCCCAGATCCTCTTTTACAGTAATCGGGACAGAAAGGGCTGGAAAGTCCATGGGATTGGTGCTACACAAGAAGCCCAGGGAGAGGGACAGGTCAGTGCCCAGTCTTCTGGCTCTCAGAAGGCTCCCATCTTCTGCAGTAAGCAGGAGATCCCTCTGAGACCATCCTGACCATGGAGTTCAAAGCTCAGTATTTCCAGAAACACAGGGGCATGCCCACACTGCAAACCCTCATCCTTTTTAAAAGGATTTTGTCATGCCATTAGTTTGTGCCAGGTCAGAGAGGAAGGGAGTAGCCTGTGGTTTGGTGCAGTAAGGCAAAGACACTCCACTTCAGCCTTCCTCTCCTTCTGTTGAGTTTCTTGAAGGGACCAAAACTTTGATTCAGAAATGTATCTTCAGGCTTAAAAGAAACAAAGCCCAGATGTGTAGCTTTGCAGTAAATGCTTGAGTCCATCCTACTAGGTACTAAAATTAGGTGGGACTTCACGACAGTGGCACTACCTCCCTCCACAGGGCTCAAGGGTGGCTTTCCAGGACTGGGTTTTCATCTCTGGCGTTCTCAGTGTCACCTGGTGCCACACAGAGGACCACAGGTGTGCTACATGGTGAGGTGTAAAGGTCTGTGTCTGGAAGGTGGTGGAGAAAGGGTTAATCCCACCCCACTCCCACCTATTAGCTGCCAAGCTAGGCCAGACTGGGAGGAATTGGGAGATGATTACCAGGAGCTATAAAGGTGTGCTGGGAGGCCAGGGAGGGCTTTGCTGGGAGAGCTGGGCTGGGGCAGGAAGCCTGGCTGGAATTTAGGAAGGGGTGAGGCAGGCAGTTTACTGCACTAATGGCTGTCTGCATCCTCTCTCAGACCTATGGAGAAGATGGGAGAAAAGGCACTTGCTTTTTATACCACAGGTAGGAGGGGAAACTCTGTCACTGCCTTCATCCTTCTGGCTGCTGAGCTGGTATTTATCCCAGGGACTAGTGGTTAATCCCTTTAGTAGCAAGAAGTTCTTCAGCTGTTGGCAGAGACAGGAGGC